CTTAAACAGTGTGAATTATTAAGCATAACAATGAACAGACTATGTTTACTTAAGAAGCAGTCCAATACACTGTCTGTTCCCTTCTGACTACATCTATTTTGGGTGCCTAGTTCAAGTGAAAATACTTCTGTGTTTGAAAAATGGCTAGAAGAGCATTTACATGTTTCCCGTGGTGAAGACAGGACTAGCTCATTGCACTTTTCATGAGCATCACAAGTGCGGTCCCGGTTACCTGATTTCTTTACCACGTTTGGTCATGTGTTATTCAGTTTATTTGATTTGGGAGGCTGAATTGTCTACAGCTCTGTGGCACTGATAGTTAGTGCTGTTCTTGGCATAGGGGTTCTGACGTTCCGCACGGAACCAGACATAAAATATGGTGCCCATTCATCTGAGAGTAGCTAAACGGAATAGTGCCACAACTATTGACGATATACAAATGTGTTGTATTGAGAGCGTGAAGGTGTCTCTTTAGCGGCTTCAGGTTGCTCTTCAAGTACATAATTATCTCTAATTGGTACCAATTTTGAGTGATTCCGTCCTAGATTTCTAAGGTAAAGACTTAATGCTTTTACTCAATCAAGATTTGTTACCACAAGGTGTTATGTAATCAGGTTCGTACCGTTTATTATAATTTAGGCTATGTGTCGGTCCTTTTGTGGGGCTGATGCATATGTATTTGCATAGGATGCATGGCAACGAAAAGCTTCTTTCCGCTATTCGATTCAAAGAATGTCAGATCTCACGCAGTTAGTTCCATTTATTTAATATCAGATCTGTAGACTTCCCAAATGTTGTTTGTGTTTTCGTTTTTCTTTCAGTGGTCTTCTCACTAGAGTGGTGGTCACTATCTACTATGTTCTGGTTGCTTGCTATTTGCCATAATGGAGTGGCATCAGTACTTATTTTGTTGGTGCTAAGCAAGCTCAGATCCGATGATACGACATCCTTAGTATTTGAAGATGTTCAGTTCGGTAGCGCAAAAGTGACATGTGATATGTCAACAGGCCGACCGCGACCATTCATCTGGAAACTATTGTGACAGAAGGTATTTAAAAGTATGCACAACATATCACATCCGGGAATAAAAGCCATGGTGAAGCTAATCAGCCAATACTTCCTATAGACAAACATGAACCGCGGCGTGCATAATTGGAAACAGGCATACATGAAGTGTCAAAAAGTCAAAATACATCGTAATACTAGCTCCACAATGGGTTTATCCACTCATCCAGATACTGGATTCGAACATAAGCACATCGATATCGTAAGACCAACTACGTGCAACGTCTGAAGAAGCACATGAATGATCTAAATAAAATACTACCCCAGATTACAACAACAATGAGTGTTCATGCCGCGGGAACGACATAATAGCACTCAAGTATCCATTAGAAAACGTACAATCACCTTTGCAGCCAAATTACGATGGTCCGTTCAAAGTGATTGCGACGATGGATAAGACAGTTACTGTAGAAAAAGTTGGAAAGACGGGTGTAATAAGCGTCGATCGAGTAAAACCAGCTTTCATGGATAACCATTTTCAATCGACAAGTACAGACTTCTCGAAGGCGATCACACCAACGAAACATGAGTCTCAAGAATCAACGACGCTAACGAAGCTTAGATAGGAGACTCCGGTAACGACGAGATTTGGCCACAACGCTATGTCGCTACAATTTTATATTGGTAATTTTCCACTATTTTGAATATTGTCTATAATTCTTCCCCGTCATTGTGTACTCGTGGATTAGTAAGCTTATGTTATACTCGGCATATCTTATGAACCCTTACACCAATGTGTATAATTTTTTTAAAATCATACCATATTCCTTTTATTTTTTACCAGTATTTTATATATAACCTCACGGATGGACACGAACCAGATACACAGCACACACTAACTTCATTATAATTTGTATAAGCCGATATCTTCAAACGATTGTAAATATTCTATTCAGTTTACCATTCTTTGTGCGAACACATACATTTTTGGTAAACATTTACTGCACGGCCATTTTTGTATTTTTTTTTTCGAGTGAAATTTTTTTCATCCCTTTTGAAAAAATTTTTCAGCCCCATCTCCCAATAATTTTCATTCTGTTTCGTCCAATCAAATAACTAGTTTTGAGTTCGTTATAATTGGTCGTTTATTTCTTCAAATCGATATAAAATATCAGGACATGACAACAGAGCACATTTTCTTACAATTATGGACGGTGGTAACATGCAAAACGCGAGCTCTGTCGTTCCTCACGTTGTCACAGAAACCGATAACCTGTTCGTTCTTGAGCACATTGTATGTCGTAACGTCTCAATCACTTGACGAGCTCCATAAGAACTTATGAAACAGCTGCGTACTGCCATTATGTGGTGAGGGATTCTCATTTACATAGAGATCGGAAGCCGTATATTAGATTCGTATGTTGGAGAAATGGTCGTAGAACATCTAGCGGTTCTTCACAGCCGAGTAGACGAACGAGGTAATTTAATTAGTGTTATTATAATTTTTCATTAAGGACTACCGTGAACACTCAATGTCCTTCCTTCGTATTTTGTAAGTTACCAACTGTCAAAATAATGTCGATATGGATGCAACGTTGAGGAATGACGAGGAAGAAATTGTTTCGATTAGCTCAGAGGAGTTCACTGAACGAGGCGACGACAATGACGAAGACGTGTATGACAACAGACTTTATGATATTTGCAATCTTGCGCAACCGCCACATGAAACTGCTGATGGAAGTACCTGGGTTTTTTGTCCATGCGAAGCAATGCTTCATTTATTTTGTGCCTACGACCCATCAACACACGTCCATGGAATCCACTGTCCCATGTACGGAGCTATAATGGAATAATAGCAACGCCTTTGTTCATGAAACTCGGAACTGTTAAGAGAACGAGTAAAGGCCCTTTTCAGGGCCACCCACAATTTGATTTAAATTCTTTTGTTTCGATTCCTTATTTCCATAGCAAAGGTCAAGTGATCAAACCATCAAAATCCATTTAAGATTAATAGTCATTACGTGATTAGCACCTACGTATTCGTAAACGCTTTTTAAGCATTGACAAATATACGGTTTAAGTAAACGATTTCGCATAGGAAATGTCATCTAATGAACACTAATCTGTCTAACAATAGTACATGCAAAACTTATTCAGAATGTTTCAATGTTTTTTCATATAGTTACGATAGGCGAATGTAGTACTACCAGTTTACTAGTACAACGACATCATTTCTATAGGAAAGGTCAACTGAACCAACATCGATGAATCCTAATTAAGCCTTAGTGATTAAGCAATATAATCAATTGAGATTTATAGAAATTTCGTGGATTAGATCATTAAAAGAGAATTTTGGAAAAAAACTTATAACTGGTTTTAATAGTTGATGATAGTAATAACTGACTTTGAAAGGTGGTCAAATGTTTAATACACAATTAATAAAGAAATTATTCATCGAAGTATTTCCATTAGTTTTTTCTTAACACATCGTATGTTATTTTAATAAACGTTATATGCGTAGCAACATATCCATAAATCATCATGATAAAGTAATGAATAGGGCATGCATAAATCACGCTAACCGTTAACGATCGGTAAATGAAGCAAAATAGTAATAACTTCTCACAGAAAATAGCAAATAGTATTCATGATTGGGTACTTTTCCAAATAATAATTCTTAGTAGAAAAGAATTGTTTTGTTTTATCTGAATAATGGTGTCATAAATAAATGCAAGATTGTCAATTGTGTTATTTTGCTAATCCATTAAAAGCGTTACTTGTTTTTACCTGTACATTCTTTGTAGTTGAGCAGTTTAAAATTACGACAAAAAGTACTTGTCTACGTAAGTAGTCATGTGAATCGATTATTGTGCTCGTCAATTGGGCTTAACAAATTTTGCACGTAATGTCAACAGCATATTTGCAGTTTAAAAAAATCTCCATAGCATATTCTATGTTGTTGAATAACAAGTTTTGACAGGTATTTGAAATATTGGTTACATTAAGTGTAAAAGTACAAGCCTACGTCTGACAAAATAAATGTCTATCTCAATTATACAGCTTAATACGAACAAAGTCAGTTGTATCAAGTGACATTTGGGTATACGTACGTGTAATGTCAATGTAATAAATAAAAGCCTACCATTTATTTACCAAACGTCAAAATGATCAATTTAACTATATTGAAACATGGTGCTCCAGCTTCAAATCACTCATGATCTCAACTATTCAAATAAAAAATGTGACTACCTTTCACGTGATGGTAATACATTTATACGTTTTATAAAATGTCTATATCATTTAATGTGGCAATTATCTGTAACAATGTTACATGCAAAATGTAATGAGTTTGTGTAAGTAGTCATGTAAAAATGGGTTATTGTGCTCTCCAAGTGGGCTTAAGATTTTTTGCACGTAATGGCAACAGCAAGTGTTTTGTTAGCGCACAGCCTGAGCAAATCATTATCTGAATTTGTAAATGATATTGCAAACGTTACTTATTTATAGTCTGCAATTATTTTTGCAAATTAGGGTTTCCTCTTGTAAAACATGATAGACGAACAATAAAAAGCTGCATGTACATATTATGTCATGTGTGCATATTATTCATTTATTGCCGCGCAATTGATGTTAACCCGTAATTTCATTATAAATTCGCCCATGTAATTTCTCGCATATACTTAATCACCTCTCCGCTTCATATACGCTCGACATGCTTATAGCATTTGTGATCTGACTAAATTGCAAGTGGAACTATTACTGTTACTACCATTGAAGTTAAAAAACATCTTGCTGAACGAAAACATTTGTTCCAAAAGAGGTCAAAAGTTCTCATGAATTTCAATGAGTTATATTTCAGCAGTTACTTGATCAATAAAAAAATATCCATTTGAACAAATCTCAGTTAACTGTTACGATTGAAAGCTTTTCTGAACCTTGCATAATGTGACAAATTATAAATGTTTCATTTAAAATCATCATGCAAATTTTTTGCTTCAATGTGAGTTTTCTACATAAGATGCAAGTAAAAGGAAGAAACAGATTTGTTTAATTGATTGTTTCAAAAATGTATAAAATGAATAACAACAATTTAACTTGTATTTATCATGATATCTTGCATGTATGATATGGTAAATGATAATCTGTCATGATTCAGCACTCCAATAATTCAAATGAATTATATCAAAGAAATATGTATCACCTAAAGTTGCACTAGAATCTACGAACTGTAAGGATGTTCTTTAACGATATGAACAACTTCTACACAATCTCAGAGATCCAGTCAATTACATACTTTAGTCTGTGAAACCCATGGGTGACAATCTATTTAAAAGCATCGATCTATAATTCTACCAATGATTATGTTAGTATGACCATATATATATAGGCTTGCTAATAAGTTTTCCTCCAAAGTCATTTCATAGATTGACAGATTGAAAATTAGTTGTCGAACGATCGAACAATTCAGTAAACCTGATATCAATATATGCGAAGGGAGATTTGGGTTCACTTTATGTATATATAAAAGGCTACAATATCCTTGCTCCACAAACATTATTTTGAAGATTTCGGTTATGAAGTGGTAAAGCTTACTAGTTTTTGGATATTCTAAAAGAAATAATATGAAAAATGCCCTTTTAATATACAATACTTATAATAACTGGATTTTTGTTGATCATAACGTGTTTGTGTTACGAGTGTATTACACTCATTGTAACAAAATGAAAAACCAGTTAGTAAAATTGGTCATTTAGATATTTACAAATTACAGGAGGCTTATCAATAAATATACATATTAACTGTTGATTTGAGACTTTTTCCCCATTCCAGTTGTTTGTTGAGATACGTGATTAAATTAACTTCAGACGTATCATTTCAAAAAATATAAATCGAATGAAGAGAACTTACTCTTAAATGTGTTACCTTGGTAAGATTTTAACGAATTATGAATAGTCAATATGAAGTTTACCTAAGCAAAATGGTTTAATTTTTGCTAAAGACAGATAATCATCTGTATTTTGAGAAGAATGTATGTAATAAATGGTGAAAATTTTATTTTATTTTTCATCTCAATAAAAGCAGTTGGTTATTATATACTTTATGGTTTAAATTGTTTTTTTCTGATTGACATTGTTTAACAAAGTTGTTTACTACGGGTTGGTGGTACTGACAAACCTTCCTCTTTTATATGAACTTGAGACTGACAGTAGCCCTAGAAGGGCTACAGAAGAAAAAAAGCTAGTAGTGAAAGATTGTGAACAAGAGCAAGCGGTTGAAGAAAAATAATCCAAGTTGGTCACTGAGATTTAAGATCAGCGAAATAGATGAGAAGAGCCCTTTTAACAATTATTGAATAGACCAGCTTTTTTAAACTCATCAGACGTTGAAGCAGCACCTACAGACATTTCTATAGATATTACCTATTTGGCGAATGAAGAAATCAGCACGGCCAAACAACATACTACACATACTAAGCATTTGACGGTAGTTCTATTGTATGGAGCTGAAACTTGAGAGACCACCATGACCAACATAAAAAATGTACAAGTACTTATAAACAGTTGTCTACTTAAGACACTCCACGTCACTTGGGCGGATAGCATCAACAATGATCTACTATAATGGAGAACAAACTGTAAAGTATGGTCGATAAATGAACCCAGGAGGTCGATAAGACGTACATTGATGAAATCATCAAACTGGGTCACGAGGCAATTTCTAACCTAGAATTCCGAAGAGAGAAGGAAATGAAGAAAACCGAGGAACAAATTGCATTGAGAGTTGGATGAAGATAAAAAAAGAATGAATAACGATTGGGAAGAACTGGAAACTATGGCCCAGGACAGAGCTAAATGAAGAATCCTGGTGTTAGGTCTATGTTGCTATACGAAAGGTAACAGGAGAATGTATGTAAGTATATAAATGTGCACTATTTTCGGAGTACTAATAGTAAGTTATTTTCCCGTCAATATTCCTAATGGTGAACGAAATGAATGAAGGTCATGCAGTCGACACAACTCAGCCATTAATAATACATCAAAGTGTAATGAATTTTATTAGAATTAGAATAGTTAAAATAATCTTACAGGTCGAATTGATTAGGCCAACTATAATAGGAAAAGTCAAAGGAAAAAGGCTAATACACATAAGTAGAACTCATTCTTAATGATGAATAACCACGACTAAATGAATCTTGAGAATTATAGAACATAGTATTATCAACTTGCACAAGACCCATAAATGTCAGCGTATACACGCTTTGCAACTAGATGAAAACTTAAACCATCTCACTGACTCTAAGATGTAACAAAGTGGTGAGTCAGTGAATTGAAGATCGATCACAGACAGTAAAACCTTACTCATGGTTTAAATGAGTAATACTTATTATGTGCAAACGAATTCTGAATGAAATTACTCATAACATGCGTGATAAAACTTGAATTAAAAATATATTTTAGTTCTCAAACGATTTGTTATCGACTTTGTTCTTAAACTAATAGTGTTTTCGAGAGTCAAACTGTTTCATTTGGTTCTTTTCTAGGTAGCTGTGGTGTGTTGAATATACGCTGTTACTAATTATTATTTACTTTTTGAAATGTTCTTGAATGGGTGTTTGTACATGACGTGATAAAAAGAACAGTCCATTTTACTTTGTTATTTAATTGATTAAGTTACCAAACTCCTTTCTTAACGAGCTATATTGGATAGATTTACAAATATTTTAAAAGATAATCATACCAATAGTCCGAATGTTGGGAGCTGTGTAGAAAATATATTAGCATAAAATGTGAAGCTTATATACTTGTTCATATTAAACAACAGCGAACACATAAACACATGCTAAATGATATGAGTTATACACAAATTGTGATGTCCTCCTATATTTTCTCATTCAAATATTACTTTTCAAATTTGTTTACTAAGTTTCTCGGTATCCGTTTGTTTCAAGTGTTTAACTCAGGGTGATTAGCTCTTTTTCAACCATATCAGTAGAACATATATAACGTATTTCATTAATGAGAGTTTTTATCAGGTTTTTTTAGTGCTGTAGGTGTACAATCTAAGCAAAAAGATATACTGTCTTGTCCAGGTACTTTATTTGCTTAATTCCCCACTTAATAATTTGTCATATCCTTTTGTTAATTCCAATGTGTATTCCGTTTTTCTTAGCTAGTCAAATATATATTTTAGTCTCCAAGAATGGAACGGTTGTGAGTATCGAAGATACATTGTTCATTCCTTAGTAAATAAGAAGGAATTCCTAACTCAACGCATTACAAGTTATTTGTGGAGTGATCTCAATATAGTTACTGATCACTTTACTTTAGTATGATATATTGAGTAAATCGTATCTAAAATTGACTTTAGTAGAATACCCGGTATTTGTGCCCTCGGTATTCCATACCATTTTGGCAGCTGAGTTCATGCTGAAAAATATATTTGCTGGTTTCTGATCTTTCAAAACATGTTCAAATCATTCTCTATCTGATTATTCAAGACATTCTGGTCAGATAGTTCATAGAATTTTAATTTGTGGTTTAATATGGTACTACTTCTATCAATATATTGTCCTTTACTGAGAAAACGTAATTCTGGTCCCTTGTATTGTTTTATAATTATTAATATTTCTTCATTGAGAAGCATTTCAATAGCTTCGCTGTGCTTCTTTGTAGGAACGCTTCTGTAGTTACATTTATTGTTCGTAAACTGGTAACAAGAATCTAGAAGATTTGATTCTCTGTGTTCTGGTTTTAATCAGAATGTGTAACTAGATCCTGTGTCAGACTATATTTATCTAACCAAAGAATTATACTTCTAAGGATAAAATCTCTAGTCTTTCCTTGACAAATTATTGACACACATTTTCCTATTTGCAGAATATTTGGTTTTAAACGTTTGATTTTCCAGACTATTAGGCTACCAAATGAGTTGTTTTCTTGCTTTCTGTTCTGTTAATTTCATATTATGCTTCATGAATGGGTTTCTTAGATCACTCATCAGGTCTTTTTCAGTATATTTCTCTGAAGATCATTCATCATTATCCATTTTATATGGTTATGCTAAACGTCGATTTCGTTGAAAACACAGGGTTTCAGTGTCTTTCTATTCAGGAATACAGTTTTCTTTCGTAATGATGTACAGTATAATTTGGATAGTGACCTGATTTGATGCATCCGAATATTATTTATAGAGCAGTTTTCTTCTTCGCGAACCTATAGCACTACGTTTACAGTTGAGTTTGTGTATGTTTAATTTTATAAATTCCCTCAATCAATTTTATTAACAGACAGTGTCATTCGAACGTTAACGCTTTTTAATTGAGCGCCTTCAACGTAAGGGGTTGTTCATGAAATATGAATTGTTTAAAAAGCCCAAAAGCATGGAAACACTAATACACAAATTAAATTACTTCTAAAACCACCCAGTTTCTACTGAGGATATTAATTGTGATTCAATATATTGATAAACGACAAAGAATGCTTACCGTAATAGGTTCCTTCATCTATTTATTAGGAAATAAATTAACACTTAATGAGCTTTCCAACTACTTCAGAATAATTGAACTAATATGCATATAACAGTTACACTGTGCATATAGATGAGACAGAACGTTTAAGAAGAAATTTAGGCTTGGTAGCCAAAAGACCTAAATTACATTGATACAATCAAAATGACAATCTCGAAGGGAAATTCAACTTTGATTAAGTGATACCGTAAACTACTTAGATCTTGTAACTTCAACAGTCCTTTTGCCTTTATACTATTTTATGAAAATATATAAAAATTCATATAAGGGTTAAACCATCTCAATCTCAATTGAGTATTTTTAGTAAACACTGAATTTACAGTTATTTATCACTCCTCAAACAAAAGCAATTTGAATTAGCGTTTAATTTTATGTGTTTATGATCATTTAATCATCGTAGATTTGAAATGAGTCTGCTTCGTAATACCTTAATTAGTCTCACTAAGTGACTCCGCATTTTCATGATGTTACGAGAAAAAGCTAATCTGTGATATGACAGAGTATTAACCACGGAAACGAAGAGTTCTGTGAAATATAAAGTAGGAAGAATTTAATTTTGTGATGACTTAACTAAAGATATTGCGGCTGTGTAAAATCAACTTACGTGTATGATCGAATGTCTCTAAATAAAAGCAATAGTTGAAAATAGTAAGTATTGATGACATGAGAAAAGTTTATTTGTTTAAATAAAGGAAAAACATGAGTAAAGCAAATGTTATATCTTTATTGTTCTGACACCTTCAGTATATATTACTCTACTCAGCTAATGTTTCTCGTCATTTTTATGAAACCATTGATTATAAGTGTATCGTATATGCAGTAACAATCTGTCGTTTTATACTTGTTTCAAATTATTTTCCTGTGAGACATTACTCATAAATAGTCTATGCTGCTTTATTGTGTATTAATGTAAACCTATCAGTCGATATATAGACAAATAAATACTATTACTAATTATAATCGAAATACTCTCCCAGATACCAATGTCCGATACGGTTTTTCATTCGATATTTCCAATCTGTGCTCTTCTACAGACGCAACAGTTCATCCTAAATGTAGTACTCTGAAGTACTATAGCTATGACGATTACTTCTTTAAACACTTGTTGAATAAAAGATATTTTTTCCCACTCTAGGACAATAAATGTAGTAAACAATGACATCATTCAATAATATAGTCTGTTTCATTGAGATCGGTGGAACGAAATTTTGTTGTTAGATTGTACAATCTTGTAGGCTGTGCTTTTTCGTAGAATTACATTAATGTTGAAGGACAAACAAAGGGGAAAGTTATATATTTATGGGTTTTTAAACAGTTGGGTGTGAAATCACACGCTAAGAAATAGATGCCTGTAAGCCTTCCAGAAACACGTATTACTCACAAAATCATTTCAAGCCTTAAAGTCGAAATGCGTGTCAAGTAATGAACTTGGAATCTAATGACTCAGTGATATGCTGAATGAAAAACATCCTGATCGAAGATTATAACACAGAGACATTTTATTTGAGTTATTAATAGTTTTCTTGTAATACAAAACGTAATAGTGATGGAAAATTATCTCGGTAAAGATTATCTAATCCACTGTTCACTAGAAAAAATGATATGCTGTCATTTCAAAAGACAAAAAAAGTTTTGGCCAGGACTGAAATTCTCTCGTACTTTCTATAGAAAAATTAAAAATTTGGAAGCATTTTGGTGGTTGACAAAATTTCCTGGAACAAGCAGTTCTGCGCAAAATACATCAAGGATGCGCATAATCTATCCAGTCGCTCATAAGTTATTTATTACGTTGTACAAATAAATGCATATGATCAGCATGCAATAATAGACTCCGTTAGTAATTTTAAGACTAATGTAACATATAAGCAAACTACTAGTAAAGTGTTGCCAGATAAGTCACAACCACGTTGAATTATCAGACTACATTGGCTGATAAATATTCCAATATCACAAAGTGTTCATGAAAATCACGTTCCCTAAAACCCTCGAAATCGCGTACTGAAAACATCTCACTGACAATTATAAAACTGTCAACATTGATTAGAAAGTAGGCACATCAGAGTTTCGAAAACTTTTCCTCAAACATACTTATGAAATCTTTCCCTGAAAGTAGAAAAAAAGTATAATGAAATTAGCCGAGATATTTCATGTCTAACTGTAAAAATAGTTATAATCATAGTTCATTCAATTAAAGTACGGTAAATGACGCTAAGTGAACTTTATAAACTCACCATTGTAACCTTATAATTTGAAAAGAAAAACGAATAAACTTTAAATAAATGTAATGAAAATTCTCATTCTCACATTTTCTGTGATAACATTATTTTAGGTGAATTGAAACCAGCTAAATTATAGGGAATATCGAACGAATTTTGTCATCAACCATACAAGTGAAATGAAAAGAATACCGAATATATTTACCATTCCAAAGAAGGTACCAACCTTAAACTTATAACTGTCAAATGACACTACCAAGAAAACGATAACTCGAAGGATGAGAAATGGGATGCGGAAAATGCTTACTATAATCAAACGAAATAGTGTTTTCTGCAATCTCTCTGTAATGGGAATCACCAATATAAACGGACTGGTTGAATCTGCTTCACTCATTCATATTCATCAAAGTGGCAGTAGTATAAAGCGTACATATTCGCAACTCCCTCATTGTATTGTGGAGCACCATTCACGGTCATCCAAAGAAAAAGAGCTGAGAGTGATTAGGAGTATAGAATATCAAGTTGACGTGAATAAGGTTTTAAAGTATGCCCACTATATTCTATCAATTTAACCTCGTGGTGTACGACTTCATATTTTAAAATTGCTGAAGCTATGCAAATCGATATTCATTGACCTATCTTTTTCATTAGCAGAAAAATTGTGCAATCACTGTCTACCTAACAGGCGTAAGTAAGTAATAAGTAAGTAAGTAAATAACTCTCCCTACCTAAGCTATCGGTATAGAAGTGAGTTTTATATCTGATGACTGAATATTATTTCATTGTCACTGTAACGTGACATAATTATTGTGTTACGCAACTACACGAAATGTATCATTTCATAGTTACAAATCATGTGGTGTCATGATGAAAAAGTGAAAAGAAATATCTTCACTCTGTTCGTTCTTCTTACCAAATATGTAATTTTGTTTAACTTCTTCAAATTACTGAAATCTGTACATCCAATTTATTTTATTGGTCAATTCGTCCTGATTACTATGTTGAATAAATAAAGTACACTGTTCATCAAACGATGCAGATTTTCTGGTTCATTCAATGTATTTTCAGCATAAAAGTGAGATTTAGATAAACTGACTGGAGAACTGTTTTCAGAGGATGATGCTTTGTGTATTTTAACTACTTTTAATACTGTTATTTAGTGGTGGTAAGTAACTGACAATAAATGAATGAGTATTCCATACGACACTCAAATGAACTCACCAACACAAAGATTAGCTAATAGAAATTAAACGTTAATGCCAGTGAACTTCATTGTTATATGGTTCATTAATTTATATTCAGTTAAATCATTATGAATAAACAAGAAAAACACGTCGAACCAGTAATAATTACTTACCATTATCTGATATTAAAAAGTAAAATAATTTTTACTGGACATTGTTCAATAGAAGTAACCAAAGACTATTTAAAATACTGATATTGTAGTACACTATATTACGGTATAAAACCTTGATCACCTGGATAGAGTGGTCCTAAGAAGTAAATGTACGGTCATTAACAGTACAAGTTATTGAAATAGGATTCTCTAATATAACTATAAGTGTACTCAGATTGCTGCGAGCAAATTGTCTTGAATTTTATTAGTACGAGGATTTGTGGAGATTGTAGTATTTTCATGGTTCGAATCACGAGTCACAATGGATCGATTGAAGTTAGACATTAACACAGTTGCATGGCGGTTCAGTGTTCTAGAATTTGCACGTTTGCGTCTTATATTAAACAAAAAAAGAAGTCATTTTTCATCTTATAATTATTAGAACACCGGTATTGAGGAAACGTTAATGAAAATCGCTCATGAATGCCATTGGTCACAATAACTGTAGCAAATGCATTAAATCTGGATATCATGTAAAACATTGAATATCGAGTTAGAATCATATTTGCAAAGGACAGGAAGCAAATACATTTGAGTTAATTGTTTGGATTGACGAAACTCCTAATGCTTATTTTCTGACTGGTTCTGCTTTGTACAAACCTTCAGATTAGTAACTAACACGGTTTATTTGTTGTAAAAGTTAATTTTAATTGTACTCTGAAACTGAGGTTAACTATTGGAGCATGAGTAAATTCATCATATTATCTTGGCGGTTCACTGTCTTCCCATTATTGATAAATTTTTACTATGGCTATTTGAAAAAAGCCGTGGGACGGTTTGCTGGAAAAAACGACAAGAACAACCACAAGAACGACTGTTTTGAAAGGGCACGAGTATGGTGTGTGACACTGATGTCAACAGATACCAGTAGTATATATCATCAACCGAAAGTGGAATGCCTGGAGGCAGAAGGTTGAGAAAATCGAAGAGAAGAGAACGAGAACAGAGGGTGATTGGTATGGAAACGAAGGATAAACAAAGCTTGAGACATTTGATGGATATTTTGCAAATTAAGTATTTACTGTATGATTCTCAGAAGATATTCTGTAAAGTTTTGAAATATATTTGGTTGTCCCCACTTGCATCGTCGTCCACTACAGTACAAATACATTCTAATCTTCAAAACACTTTTTTGATAAAAAGTAGTTTAGTTTTAAAAACACGAGTGTCAGGTTATTTCAAGACACCGTTCTGGAGATTTATCGATTTTACATTGTCCTTGAGTGGGTTATTTTACAGCGGATAGGGAAGAAATATTTACACTGATGCTAAACCTAATGAAATATATTCTTAAGAAAACCTATATCATGAAGGTCACTACACACTGTTCTTGTGAAATACGATAAAGCCCATTATTGAACTTTGTGCCTCGATATATGACATAACTCTTTTTTATCTTAAACATTAAAAACTTCATACATAAAAAAGAAACATACCGCAACATCTGAACTCTGTGAAGTGTGAATTGTGAAGATTAATCGTCATTTAAAACGCTCACATTTATATTGGAAAATATTTCACTTATACAGTTTATTAACAATAGGTGAAATTTCGATAGCAGTGGAGTTCAAAATACTTCTTTCATCATGCTTCCGATTCGTTAGCTCGGTTTTCATGCATAAAATTTTTGGCGTTTTAATTGGGTTTGAATTCATCACCTATCGCTTCCTAGGGCGACAACGCGTTATCAACAAAAATTATGTGATGCGGAGATATCCATCAGATAAGCATCAAAAAGTACGTGTCCCGTGTCTTTGATTCTAGAAATTGCAGCATAACATCTATTTAACGTAAACGTGTATCACAATGATGATATAGAGTCAGCCGCATCGGATGCACACAAACCAAATAAGACCTAGGACATCTCTGTAAAAATATCACAGATGAAGTGATTCAAAACTTTACGAGTAAAATTAAAATATATTTATCTGTTAAGTGCAAACAAAAATGAGATTAACGACAACAATGAGATTTCATATGATTACTTACTTTCATGACTAACTGTAATGTTTCAAATTAAGGCGTTCATCGAGGTTTGTTAAATAAGTGTATTATCATTTTACAAAACATAATTTGTATGTGACAAAAGAATTTTGAGCTATCAGCTTTTCTATCGTATTAGGTATATTTGTTGCTACACCGTTATTGTTTTTCCTCATTGCTACATGTGTTCTTTGTAGAACAGACAGTTCCCTTATCTGCGGAAATCAAACACCCATGTTAATAAACACAGTGCATGAACGTGTAGACAAATACAATCCTTCATCTCATTAGGTTACTGATAGATTACGTATAATTCTAGTTGTGTTCAGATAAGTAATTGATTAGATGCAACCTCAGATGGATAAGATCTGCTCTAAACTTGTGTTTCAACTTACTATTACATCTGAGATCTGTTGCAAACAAAAGTAGCATTAACATAAAAAACATAAGTTTGATGCATTCACAAAAACATAAGTCAGTTAAAATTCTCTCGAACTTCATTGTTCCCTCATTGCCTGTATGATTACACTCTGTCTACACTCCCGTTTTTTCAAGTTGATGTTCCCAAACTTCCACCGCCAGACACTCCACTTCTGGTTGATATTACATACTACTTATATTTGTCGATATAAGTGGCATACACCACACCATGAACAATTATATGACAATATCAGTGTTCGAAAAGCCAGAATGAAGCGACATCAACTAAACGAATTCAGAAATGTTTTTCAGAATAACAACATAAACCGTTCTTGTGTAGATAAGCTGTATAAGCCAGTCACTAATCCCAATTTTACCACAAAACAAGCTGAATTATTAAGTGGATTACAATGTAGAATAATATGAAAAGATCAAGAATCCTCCTTCTTAAACTACGGTTATATCGTTTTAAATTTCCATTTTCAACTCATCTAAATTCTGTTCCATATTCGGTGAACAACAGTTGGATGTTGGACATGGTGAACTGAACTGGATATTCATTCTCTGTTGCTTACTTAGTAAACCAATGCTAATAATTAATGGTTCAGATTCGAACTATTTAATATTTTCTAAAGAACTGAATGATGGGACCGACAAAAAACTTCAGTAATCACAGTGGCAGAAATTAAGAATATTTCTTAGTCTGTGAAAAGTTCTTCGCATTGTCTATCGTTAAATTGTCTCAGATTGAAAAATAATATAATGACAGATATTTACAAATCAAGCACGAACTATGACTTACAAAACACTGAGTTAAATGAAACAGATATGTATAGTTAAATTAGGTACAACAATAGAATGTTTGGTAATACTGAAATACATGGAACTAAAATAAATACTGCAGTAACAAATGGAATAATTATTCAAGAAACGTGATTGGAAGAATTCTCAAATTGTTTCTAATTTGTTCTAAGCAAATTGAAGCGTTTATGTTTAAATCAGTAGTAAAAACTAACTACCTTTTTATTCTCACCATGATGCATGGTGAAATATATTAAAGTTGTGCAGCCTACATCAGTGTAAAGTTAATAAAGTATATGTCTTCCAGGACTACGATAAATCTCTCAGAGTTTCTCTATTTCATGACAACTGAGATCTTTTTTCGATATAGAAAAATAGTGAATTGTCAAGGTTCAAAGTAACTGTCATTTACGCACGAATATTCTGGGGAAAACATGTGAAACTATATAATCTCTTTTGTAATCGATTAACAAATTCGTTCTTTTTTAAAACTAGAGATTAGTTATACCATAGTTGTTTTAAAGTATTATGGAAATGCACTTGAATTAACTTAAAAGATTAGTTTGATCACATTGTGACAATTGGTGCATACGATTAGAAAACATAAATCATAACTTACAATTACTAAAGTCTAATTTAAGAAAGTGTTTGGGAAAATTCATCCATTTGAATGTTTATCAGGTTCTATCTTTAATAAAAATATCTGACGATAACTAAAGTCCTTCAGAAATAAAGAAAAATTACCTAGTTCCTTACCTTGTAGGGTTAGGTAAACAGTCTTCGAAGATACGATAGACTAGCATAAACTCCAACTTCATTCGGTACTCATCAAAATGTTTCTTCATCTACGTTTATTAGGGTATTCATGAGACCTTGTCTACAATCTGTAAGATCTCATGAAGTTCTCAGAAAACATTCTTCATGAACATTGAATTTAGTGTAGATAATACTCCAGAAATTTAGAATAAAATCGACAGGTGGCATCTTTAAGAAAGTTTTTCATAGCCCTAAGATTTTCATCTTATTTTCAGTCATCCTAACACTCTTCAATGTACCAAAGATGAATGCCCGTATCAGGCGGAATGACCATGTTTTTACATGTTTAGTTGCTCTTATCTAATAGATTACATTACTCACACACATGTAACCACTTTCCAGAAGCATTTTCAAGTAATCTATATTTCAGTATTTAGACATCTCGTTAACCCACATCATCTTACATCATCAGATAAATAATTTAAAATTATATGTACTTTCAAATGATTCGGTTCCAAAGATCACATTAATTACTTGATTAGATTCAGGATCTGTTTATGATTTATTGAACATTAATGGAAGCGATTATAACTACTTCAACAGTACCAGATAATCAGTGTTCTGATTTGCACAATGAATCCGAGTAAAAAGGCAAGTTTTACAATATCCATTGGTTACGTTAAAATGAATTCATTTCAGTTTAGCTTAATGTCGTTCATTATTTTATTTTGATCATAGTAAATTTTTACCCACACAATTTAGGAAACATAATCTTTCCGATTCATTTATCGAATAAATACAAGCAGTGATATTTAGATAAGAATTACACTGTTACATTATTTAGGAAGATAGAAATATACTTTACCTAACGTTGATACATTTGTATGGAATTTTTGTCATAAAAAGGATATATGTTTGTTTGTTATAAAAAAAGTTCTGGGTTCAAATCTCGCGAGGCAGAATCATGAATGCGCACTGCTGAGGAGTCCCACAATATAACGAAACAGCTGTCTAGTGCTTCCAGGTTTTCCATGGCGGTCTAGATTCAACTGACTCATGATGTCAACTATTAAAACTACTATAATGCCCAAAACAAATCCTTTCTGAAAAAAAATAGTTGATCGTTAACTGTATTTTCGATTGATTTATGTCCAAATGTTACTGAATTTAAATAATTAAACCGAAGTAGCTACAAAAACAGAAAATGGTTAACTTACCCCATGGATAATCTGTTTAATGAAAAGAGTTCAGCTAAAGATGTTTTACGCCCCGCCACAAAATCTTACTGATATTTGTGAAACATAAACAATGTTGTGATGACAAATCATAAAATCATTTAGTTATTCAACACATACTGAATAGATTTCTCGATTCGCTTCCAATTAAATCGACACAAATTAGTGGTAAGAAATGAATGTTACTCTGATTCTCATCATGCTGCAAGCTAAATCATGCAAATGTTTACAATGTATAACAGCATGAGTGAAATGAATTTTCCACCGTCTAATATATCAATGATTCTGTTAAATACTCTCCGTTTTTGATTCATCCACATACTGTTCCTTATTCGGTGAGCAACAAACTGATGTTACACGTGATGCAGTGTACTGGATAAATAATCTGTGTGTTAAAATCGTGGATAAAACTCAATAAGTTATCATTTGAAAACAACACAACAAAGTCTGCTCTATGAAGAGAAATGAATCTGTATACTTGTACATTTTGCTAGCTATCACATATGGTTGTCTATTTCGGATCTACAGATGGGTGAACATAACGGTTTATTTGTCCAAATAATATCCTTTTATCCTAAAGTCAAGTGATTTCACGTAGCTCATAGCTTTGTATTTCCAGATACTTCTAAGCAAATCACAAATGAATAACTTACTCCATGGTAATCCTGAATAACAGAAATGTATTTAGTTTAGTTTTGTTATATAATGACCGGTACGAATAATTCAATTATCCCATTTTTCGATTAAACAAGCTGAATAACTCAATGGATTACAATGTGCAATAATGTGAAAAAGTCAAGAATCCACCTTCTTAAACTACAATTATCCGGTTAAGAATTTCCATTTCCGACTCAACCAAATTGTGTTACGTAACCGGTGAACAACGGATGTTGGACGTTGTGAAATGTATATACAAATTGAACTGGATATTCATTCCTTGTTATTCACTTAATATACCAATGCTAATAATTAATGACTCGGATTTGAACTAATTAATGTTTTTGAAAGAACAAAATAGTTCATTGATGGTATATAAATCTATTGAATCACGTATGGAGATTTTATAAACAACCGCTAGTTTATCAAATATTGCACAATCAATATAACATATCTGTTCACTATCCTTACGAAATCTTAAGATTAAAATAACTGGACAGTCTCAATATATGGTAGTGATAAATATTCTAAATTAAAACCCAATAAATAACTTACTAGTTTGACCTATTAACATAGAAATTGTTCGGTACGTTCGTTAACAAGAAACGTTTAAATCATTTCACCATTTAGCATGAATGAACAACAACATTGTATAGAAAACAACTAGACATTTGATTGACTATTCAACACCTCAATATTATTTACCATAAACTGGAAAAGTTTATTAGTTGTTTTTAATTTATTCAAAAGAAATTGGGCGAGACTATAATTTATGGACGAACTAATCACGTATAAGATAACGGGTCTCGGATTTTGGCGCAAAATTCACTCACCCATTTGGATAAATAGGGTTTTGGCATTATAGCTGATGTCAGTTTTTGATGAAAATCATAAATCTAATTCCCAACCCTAACCTCCAACTGTAATTCATAATTCTAATTCCTCACATAAGTTTTTAACACTCATTTGGCCCTTGTTGTGAAGTGAACAATCACACGGTTAATCTAGCGTCGCTCAAAGGTCGTCCATAAATTATGGTCCCACTAATAAGCCTTATTAAACTGCAATGATTCTGTTAAGCTTTTGTCGTTCCAATTTAGCTAATACTGTTCATTTGTCAATAAACCAAAAGTAACGTGTTGAACGTAATGGGTCAAATTATATATGCCATAATGAGGATGTAATACATATGATTCAATTTTTAATTAGACTCAAACAAATAAATATAAATGTATTCAGAAACATATTTTTCAGAACTAACAGATAATTCAGTATTCATAGACGCTTAGCTATATAGTCTTAGTTATTCATTAGCCTGTTTAAGGTCAAAACTGGTCATTTCCATTAAATTTAATTTACCGACTATAATTAAAGTGTTTTAATGTCAACAAAACAGATAAGGTCGATAACATTCAGATGAACTCTAGAAATAAAATACATGGGATATGACTTACCTCCTCCAGTATCTGTTTTTTTTAAGATAATCATTTAGAACGTCGTCACTTATTTTTGTAAATTTTGACGTTAAACAAGGAAAACCAGAAAACTATCACAATAAACAATGAAATGACCCAATCAAAATTCAAAACCCCATAGTAATGTGCATAACCTTGATCATTTCAAAATTCGACACAAGTTGAAGCACAATCATTATAGTTAAGGGCACTAACTTATCACTGTTTCAGTTCGCACAGTAAAGCATGGCGAAACGAGAAATTTTTGGAAGTGCAACATTGTGAAAAGAATAAGAGAATTCACCCCCTAAAACTATAATAATACTACTGAGATATCGCTATTTTCAATTCACCTGAATTTCTTCAATATTCAATAAACAATAAATGTATGGATTACCTCCTTAATGTTCACCTAATTGTCCTTTCGTAAACCGGTTTTATGTTCATTTATAAAATCAAGTTAAATATTATGTATTACTGCATATCTACAAATGAATCACGTATTATTGACTTACTGGTACCGGCATCTGATAAAACCAAAATATTGGGTTTTATTGATTACCAACGAGTTTTTGAATATAACTTGTACTAAGGAAACATGATGGTATCAAGACAAAAATTTGTTGTCAATTCACTGTTTCCACGTACTTTGTAAATCCTATACGATTGTGTAGAATGTAATCATTTTCAAACTAAAACTAAACCATGGTTTCTAACATAATTAATGGATTTGTAATATTATGAGGTCAAAATTATCAGCTCTATGAAACATTTCAAAACCTTTTACAGTTCACTACCTTCAAATAAAGAAAGTATATCTATGATTTGAACACCATTAAGCCAGAAAAACTAATCTAACTTTTGTAAAATCATAACAATATGAGCAAATTTATTGTTGGGACTATGAGGATCGGACTCTTTTGGATTGTGATTATGCCTAATTCTTTTGATATAAACCATTTCAACTATTTCAAATGTTTTTTTAAGCAAAGATGGGTAGTGGCTAGCAGTGGAATCCAGGATGCGCGTTTCGTCCTATTTGGGACTTGTCAGCTGGATGTGCCTTCATTCAAATAGGACTAAACGCGCGTCTTGGATTCCACTGCTAGCCACTATGCATCTTTGCTTAAAAAGCTTATGACTTAAGGCTATATCAAGGCAATTCGCACAGGATGTACATATGCCAATTGAGTCTTAAATAACAATCGGAACATACAAGTAAAATAACACCAAATGAATTTTATTCAAATGTTTATATTAAAAATGAATAGATAGTTTAATGTTCTATAAATATAGTAAACTTATATTAATAACACTTGATTAACTTACAAATAGGATCTGTAACCATTAGATGGATCACACAGAATACAACTAAACAATCTGTAGTAGATAATTTCATTTTGTTATTTTGATGATTTAGTAAGCAGATAATTCATTCATATATTTATGCTTAATATATGATAGAAAATATGACATTCACGTGACAATTAAATGTATAGTTATATTAATCATAAGTGATTTATGTCTATTACTGTAATAACTTCATGGCTCTTATCCAATACACAATCATATTCATGTGAATGTTTATCTACTCTGCTGTCAGGAAACACTTCTATTCGACATTTCACGAGTATATTCCACGTTCATTTTGTAAAATGGAGTTTCGTTCTCTGAGCTAGATGGTTTGGTCGTGAAGCTTTTATCGTTCTTCTGAAAGACATCAGCACAAAATTCAGATACAAGTGAAGTGTTCGAATTTCTCCATGTGCCTTGCAAAGCTTGTTCCGTACACCTCGATGTTGATTGGTTCTTGTTGACCTTAAATTTGTCATTGTTTACTTCTTTGTTTTGGGTGTCTCCCATTGGTTTGATTGTTGTTCCTATATTTGTGCATGATTTTCCTGATTGGTTGATAAATTGGAAAATCATTTTCAGTCATTGTCAGTCAGCAGAAAACCTCTTTAAGCGAATTCATATGGTTCATCTTGAATTTAAGGCGCTAAACATTTTGAAATACAAACAAAACCCTTGTTGAATAACGCACAAACCACTACAATAGTGCATACGCAGCATTATTGAAATGTATGGTATTTGACAAGAACTCGATAATGTCAACGGTACGTACTCGAATAATTCGTAATTCGAATGTGTAATGTTGAGTTCATTATGTAAATATTTCTGTTTGAAAAGCAGACAAATATGTTTATTTCAATGGTAATATACACAACATACTTGGTTGCTATAACGTCTGATCTTACTGATTGGTAAAACCGAATAATCAAGTGATTCATAATCTTCATAAAATTTTACAGTCTCAAATGAAATCACAATCTCTGTGAGTTGAACTCTGATCATTCAGATACATTTCCATTATAAATCATCAATGAGATGATTGTCAAGTAGAAACACAAACAGGTTACTTGAACTTCTCATTACTTTCTGTAGATCAACTAAACTCATGGCGTTGTTGTCTGATGAAACTCTTTATTTTTTAGACGGCCTCAAGATCAATTAAACATGAAATATTGCTTTGAAAATATTGAGGAGGTGTTTGAAAAGCTTTGTAAAATTCCAGAGGTTCAAGTCTGATTTATATGTTTTTTGACGTTTGCTCAGATATCTCACACGATTCATTGTGAAACATGAGAAGTAAATGCTTCTTTTTCAAGTTCATTTGCTACTGGATTTAACATCTACCACTCACTCACCTGACATGTCAAACTTATACTACTGCTTATCCTAAGTGAATTCAATGTTTATATTTCGATTTAGAATGTAGATCATTTTATTTCTTTTGAATCACCGTTGCATGTGATCTCTATTTTAAAGTACATTTGGATATATGTAATTCTATCAATTTGTCTTAACGTGTTTCTGTCGATGAAGTGGTTTGACCTCAGTTTCTTCTTCATAGTGCCATACATAAACGTCTTTTCGAGAATGTGCCACTAGTCAAGAGATTGATAGAACTAATTTGTAATTTATGATGAGGGATTTAAATATCACCAGAATGTAGAGAACAGCTTTTTGCATAACCTGTCATCTCTCACAAAGAATACTTGTTGAACATGCAAACGACCTCACTGTATGTATGATGGTTTCAACCTCGGTATCCCATCGATATGACTGAGATCTTGTCTCTGATGGAACGGCGGTCTGTTGTTAATCCGAAAACAACAAACTGTTAAATTTGACCTGAGACATGAATTGCCCTGTTATTGAATGAAGTTTACCGTTTGACATACTACATATAGAGGCTGTACACTTTCGGCATTAATCGACAGTTAATCTAACGATCTGTCGATTCTTGAATGTTAATTATTATTCTCTACTGTCCTCCATCATACTTTCCCATGCTTTCGAGAAGATACTTCACTGTATTGAAGAGAGTGCTGAAGGCAGTTAGTAGGGTGTGTGGTGAATCTCTCATGGTCATTATTAGTACATCTGTGGAAAGACATCTATAATCTCACACAATAATGACAGGTGTTACCTGATCAGATATTAAACATCAATTTCATTTGTCACTTTCTCCTTGTATATCTTCTGGTAGAACGAGACGGCAATACATAGAAATCCATGCACACATGCAAAATTATAAAATCCAAATATTACTGCATCTAGCAGACATACTACGTGACAAATAGGTTGTTATAGCTGACGTAGTCGAAAACATATATTCTAAACTTGTTTCTAATTCAAATGTTGTACAGATTCAAATCTTCCTTAAGAAGAAACATTTCGTTTATTCTATCCAGGTAGTTTATCAACTAAATTTAGGTATGAATGCAGTTACTAGTTTCTCTCACTCCGTTCTCTCTTAGTAAAAGAAGCTTGGTGAAATAATTTGTGCTCAGGATTCTACATTATGCCAAAAACACAATATTGAATAAAGCCATTAATAATATGATAAACATTTTAAAATGGTACACCCTGTGTTTGTGTATGTGAAAGAAGCAAACGTTAGATTACTAAAATAAGCAATGATTGATATATGAGAACACGTTTACGGATCAATTTTAAAAATTGGATCACATCTACAACACTGATGAAATGACTCACCCCAACCATCACCTGTTAATGAGAATGCATTGAATTGTATGAGTCCGATCAGTACTTTTACAAAAGGGCTAGTGCAGAGACGGATGAATTCTTTATTTCACACTGACCAGTACTTCCTACCAATTGCAGCCTACGATCATCTCCAAATTCAATAAGATTGCCAAATCATATTAAACTGAATGTTACGAGTTTAATGAAATAATTTCTATCTAGTGGTGCATTGAAATCACCAATTAGTCTAATTTCATGTTTTTGATTTATTTAATAACTATCACACTATTACATGCTGTCATGGTCTCGATATTAGTCCTCTTGATCATTTCATGACCTAAGATTATGTGGAAATACTATTCTCATCATCTGTATATATACAAATATGTGTGAAGGAATAACCGTGTAAAAACATATTAGTTACGTCTCTTCAAAACAAATGCGAAATATATTAGTTAGATTTTCTCCGGCATTGAACAATGTAATCGGGTGTAATACCGAAATTCGAAGAGACGTGATAATTCGGACAAACTACAGATCATATCTTCGTATTCATTAGTTGAAACTGAAAGTGGTTATTCTGTCATTTAAAAAAATTATCACTAGTCTGTGTTGATTTGCTACATTATTGACTAAACCGAATTCGCAGATTATCCAACACATAATATTTTGTAATATGGAAAAGATGGATCCAGTAATATCCGTTTCACCTATTCTGGGTGTGATCAACTCTTTATGTCTAAATAAACTTGTGTCATGCTGGCTCCTTCTTGGAAAACTGCAATGTGCACACATCATAACCTCGAATAATCATTTTACTGTCGAAATATTACCAACGAGGTGATTTAAACAGTTACAAATCAAACTAAAATGTATAAACACTATACATTATTAATAACTATAAAAGACGACTGTTACGATCGTCAGCTGGTGGTCGGCAGTTTTCGCTGGTATGAACTGTTTAATTTCTAACTCAGCTAATCCTCGATTGAAGCTGTGGCTATTGCTTTTCTGTACTTGAGATTTTAGTGTGGTGTTGAGTCGCGACCGACTATGATCACCACTACAGGAATACTACGTGCCAGTTAACCGATATGATCTCCCGTAGGTCTAGTATCATAAGGCACTTGATGTTTGTAGTTGAGATGTATTTGTTGGCGATCTCGTGGTACCGACGGAATGCCGAGATCGTACCAGGTTACAAGTAGGGTTACTGAGCGTAACCGAGCTCGTGCAAGGTCACAATCAACGGAACAATGTATGTATATTTTGGTACAGTTTAACAAACAAGTACGGTAGAACAATCCCTGGTACAATTGGTCATAATAATAATAATTGTTTCCATTACACCAGTCGCGTTCTCTTGATAAAAGTAGGTCACCACAAGATCATTTGCGTTATAATATGAGCATATATTTTCAGTAAATCAGTCTTTTCTCGGCTAAATGTAGAGATTAAACTGATAGTTTTAATTATTAGGTTATTATTCTCATCATAATCACCCATAAACTCACAGTTTGAAAATGCCACAAGAAGTTGTATTATGATGAAGAGTGCCAAACTGACTCCACCAAATGACTTCATACTGCAGTGTCGATGACTCTTAATCTCTTCGTTATATTATTTATATACCTTGTGTTCGATAAGATGAATTTAACAGGACATATGACATTTATGTGACTGCTACTTATATCATGTTAATCAGATTTGTGAGTTCGTGCTTTTTCGAAAGACTAATTATCAGCTTTCACTGAAGACTTCATGAGTAAAACGCATGTTTTGTAGAAAGAAGTACATAGCTGTTATAATTAAAATGATCTCACTTTTTTAATTCACCACGCATTTCTAGTCTACTTCAGTGTAATAATCACAATCCATATTTTCAAAGGGAACATCACTCTTAAAAGACAAATCTCTTTTATAAACTTGTTATAAATAGAAATACTTTGTAGCTAGCAGTGCTGATTGGCAGAGAACTATTTCCACAAAACTCTAGGCTTGATAACAATACAAAAGCTGATCACATGTGCTGTAATTACTAATACACTTACTCGTAACACTTTTACGTTGTCTTCAGTTTTGTACATTACCCGAATATTTGTTTGAATGGAACAGCCTCGGTAATTATGTGCACAGAGTTCTCATTTTCGGTCACTGATTGTTGTTTGCATTACATACTGCTTCCCGCTCCCATTCAAGACAACATTTTCTCTTACCAGATCAACAAGCGCGTCAGTCACCATGAATAACTCAAGCGTTGACATTTGTAAGCAGTTTTGATAATAAAAGCTGCAGATAATTAACAGAACTTGATTCATTCTCGGCTTCAGCGATGGAAAGCTTTATTTCAGCTTTTACATAAGAAGACATAAACACACGTGAATGAACTGTGTCAAGTGATCTGTCATGTTCGTATAAGTGGATTTACTTGCACTGGTTGCAACCGTAACCCTAATCTCGTTCCATTTCAGAGTAAGGCATATCAACAATTTGAAAGTTTTCGGAAACATTATTCCTCCAATACCTGAAGCAAGAAAGTTCGCATTGCTCGATGGATTTAAATAACACCGAATCTAGAATATTATCATACGAAGACCGTGCCATATTAATGGTTGAGTACGACATCCCTAATCACTGCGATATCAGACATGAAGGCTGGATGAAATTAGACATTCAAAGGAAACTGAGAACG